ACAAACTCAGTAATGTAATCATGCCGAGGTTCATAGAAAGCCGTACATGGAACAACAGTAGCAATTTTAAGGCTGTAAAAAGTTACTTTTCCAGCTGCTTGGCGTCCTCGAGTTTACGATCTCGTTTATCCCGTTTCTCCCGCCTGAAACAATTGTCCATTGTAAACAAAGACCTATAATACTGACTCCAATAACATGAAATTCGACGAATATATCAATAATAGTAATAGTAATGGTTGCATTAATAAAATATTGATAATACTGAGTTATATGAAGCCATTCCAAAAGACTTGCGTTGTTCCGCAAGGTGGTGCAGTGGGGTAAGGGGTGCACTATCCTTTCTTATCCTCATGGTCCACGGATGGGATCCTACAACGGATTGGTTGTTTGGCTTCCAGACCCATCCGAAAACATGAAAGCACTGATTGCATATTGGCTGGCCATCGCAACTCACTGTACAGATCAAATTCGAGCTCAGCCAACCACTACAATTTTTAATGGTGGTTCAATGCGGGGCGCAACCCATAAAACGGGACTGATCAATGCCAAAAACTTCATCCTTATTCATGCAATTTGTTATGTCGTTTATAGGAAATGGACGTCTCCGCTTTCTACAACTATGCATGAAATACCACTTAAAATCCAATTTCTATGCATTGAACACCACCACCCTTTTTAATTTGTTGAATACGGCCTTGTGTGAGTACTTTTATACGGCGATTAAGGTGAATTGTGACCCAGTAGAAAGCAAATAAGAAAGGAGGAGCACGATTTTCCTTTTCCAACTGTTTTCTGTTGAGTTACAAATGGATAAGTAAAATCAAATGTTATAGGAGACGTTGAAAATGAAGTAAAGTTATAAAATAGTCAAGCTAGGGGGTTACTGTAACAGCGGAGTGCCGGTACTGAATTTGCGTTTCTGTTGGTAAAAATATTAAGTGGCCAAGAATGGAAGTGGGCTTGATCGTTTTTGTACAGATGTAACATTATTACAAAATTATAATGTTTCATATGTAATTGTAATTGTACTGTGAGGGCTTTCCAAGTAAAAACAATAAAGTTTATTGGTGCAATAGACAGACCTCCTGTTTACATGCAATACTCGTAGCCAAACAATTAAAGCGCATATGCAGAACAATATTGCTGGTAGAAAGAAACATATAAGCATCCACATGTCTGTAAACAACCAGTATAATAATAGAAATGACTGAAAAATTCGAATTGTAAGTACGACGAGTTGTCAAGAGACGTAACCATTCATAGGAATTATTCCAAAGCGAGTTCAGTATGTCGAAGGGTGAGATTGTGATTTACAGAAAGAGTAATCCGTACCAGTAAAACCAGAGAGTCAGAGGCTTCACATGATTGAACGCAACCTAGCGAAATCTACTTAGAAGGTTGAGAACCGAGGAAATATGTTTCAAAGATTTTTTTCTTGGAGTAATGGGCCCTAGTTTCCATCCTCACAATAGATAAACGGTCCGTCACAAGTGTTGGTTGAGGTGATATAGTAGCAGTGACCCATACTACTACGTGCATGATCGGCGATCGAGCTTGAAATCGATACCCGCCCAGGTCGACCAAGCCTTCTACCCATACGAGCTTGCAGTAAAAACTCGTCAGGGAGGGTAAAAAAAAGCTCGTCAGAGAGGGTAGAAGTTGCGCTCAACACCAATACTTTCTGAATGGAAGTCGAATGTGGAGTGCATCGCAGAAACGGGATTGATCAACATCAAAAAAGGCTAAAGAACGAAGACTGCCATAATTAAGTTTAAAGTAATGGAAGGAAAATCCCACGAAGTAAAGCGGTGATTGTGTGGAAACGATGAATTTCAAACAGATTTTGTGAACTTGAGAAAAACTACTGCAACCAGGCAATTTCCACCCGGTTGCCCAGATGTAATCATCGCTCTTCGTGGCCTTCATGGGCGCCGTTTGCTCATCATCCTTCAGTTTGCCATTACAATGATGTTAGACATGCAAATGATGGTGGACTGAGTCCAGCAAACGTCTCTCATTCACTTTGAAGTGAAGCCAGTAATTAGGAAGTCCGAAAGCATGCTCTAGACGTATGTAGACTTGGACATGGGCTTTGACTAAGTTATGAAGATGATGAAGAAGATATAATGAAGATGTGATGAAAGATGCTCTGCGGGAAATGCATCAGTGCAGATGCGCATATCTTATTCGGATTAGGTTTTTTCCAGTAATTTCATCATAGAAAGAACAGAGAACGTCATATATTCATCTTAAAGAGTGGATGAAGCTAGATGGACCTTAATTAACCCCGCTCTGGTTGTGGAATGAAATCATAGATGCATGTAGGGTTGCGTGGGCATATGCAGCTGATGTTCAGTAGGTTTTGCTCACTGCAAAGAAAACCTGGTACCAATATGTCGGTCTCGCAACGAAGGGAAGATTAGTTGGCCACGATGGATATGGAGTCAAGAAGTACAGTGAACGCTTCACTGCTCGCCTCATTGGACTTGATTACCATCTTTCATTGCATCTAGCAGGATTACACCAGCTTTGCACTCTTCCCTTAAACGTTTGGCCCTATAGGCCAACTTAAGGCACTGAGCGAAACAAAGTTGCAACAGTATACCCCACTTTCAAAGCTGTAATCCTTAGCAAAGAGGGCTAGCTTTTAGCCCTTTCTTGATGACAGGTTTCCCGACATGTTGATGTAGTTTGGAAGTACGTACTCACTCGATAAAGGGGAAAATCCATTAGGAGCGCACAGAAAACTTTCATTTTGGTCTAGTGAAGTAACATTTCTGTAAGGGATGAAGGGGTTGTACCATTGAAAGGCTGGAAAACTATGGAGGGAGGAATTCTTTGTATTGGAGATGCTGCTACTCCTCCCTCCTCGCTTGACTATATTGGAGTGGCCATTTTCCGTGACCCTTTGCTAGAAACTTGTTGGAAGGGAGTAGAGACAACCAATTTCTAAATTAGGTGCATGAAGACGCCGCAAACAGATCATCCGGAAACGGAACTCAAGCGGGGACGTCCGTCATGCGTGTTCGACGCTTAGGGTCTCACGTCACGATGGATCAGTTCTAAGGAGTTTGTTGCCGAAGTAAGCTTCAGCCTTTCAAGAGTCGGGAAAGGACGTAGCGATCACGAAATGTGTTCTGGAAGCTAGGAAGGAAGGCTCCATATTAAACAGGCTTGGGCACAACTCCTACTTATTTGTTAAGCAATCATTCAGGTTATCACACCTTTAACGGCTCCCAGTAACCCGAATCAGAGCTCACCGAATGCTATTCACCATCATGAACTCTATCTCACTGGTGGAGCGCAGACGAGCGCGGATAGATACCCACCTTGCCCAATTCTGAAAATGAAATGATTATAGAAAACCACTAACTCTCGAGTCTTTCGAAATTCTTTCTGACTTCTTTATCAGTGAAGCACTATTTGACGTAGCCCTTTCACTGCTGCCACAAAAAGCATTCTGCGTGAGCAGTGCCTTCTGGCAAAGTAAGCACATATAATCAGGCAAAAATATACAACATTTCCAAAGAAGTAGTCTCATATATAAAGCAAAATTAAAGCATTTCGGGCAGGGACATGGGTTTGCTTTGAGGGTCTTCTAAATAACATGATGCGACAGAAGACATTCGTGTCAGGACCTGCAGCTCGGATTGTTGTGTCGAACAATCACCCGTATTTCAAAACGTGGCTTGCCTTTCACCACAAAACTATATTGCCTATTTATACCCACCAATTATAGTAAACATTCTTTTTGAAGAAGTATTGAACACTTCTCGACACTATGAAGAGATTCGAAAATGGCACTCCGAATAGTAGTTTGTAAAGCTGTGTTTTCGAATTTAAAAAAAATGGGTGATCTAGCTGGGCTTAGGCCAACGGGAGTTCAATTTGTGTTCGCGCACAACGTGCTAGTATACTGCCAAATCATTAGCCGTTAAATTGAAGCGTCACGCTTCTCCTTCAAAGGAACATGGAAGAGAGTGAGGAATCATGTTCTACTATCTTTTACTAATTTATGTTATCACTGAGACATTATGATTGGCTACCATATAATACGCGCAGTATGCACCGCCACATATTAGAATGCATGAGTATGTGACGGTTTCAGAAGTACGTTAGCTTTTTCAATTCATTCGGTGTTCTCTTCGGGAAATAGTCCACTACTTCATATATATATATATATTTAGAATATTTATACCGCGTGGTTACAAAATTTACTTATCTATAAGCATTAAAATTGTTGCAAAAAGTTTTCAAATGTGGTTGAACCGGACAGGAATAGAGAAATGCCCCATCGAAATTCAAAAAGGCATTACACAGTTCGATTGGCTTCTGCTAGCCGATATTACTGCCATTTTTCTAAAACGTTCCAAAATATCTTGTTCAACTGCGGATGCAATGTTAACGAGATCTACTATTTACTAATGAGCTGAAAACAATTTTTGGAAATTTCTTCTTGAACGATCCTCAGGAAGTAATGAAGAAGCAATGCCTGCAGGAAGCATTGCTTGATGGAATCATAGGGTTATCTTCAGTTCAGGGCGCAAACTTTAGTAGAACTGGATCAATACAAAGCTCACATCAGTTTTTTCAGTAATGATTCTCAATGTGGCTGTGGGTGCGAAGCAGCTGAACCCATCGCAAAGTATCAATATCAGTCTTTCATTAATAAGACAAAAGGTTTAAAAAGGAGCGACTTCATTTTTTGAAAATTCACTTTAAGAAATTTGAGAAAAAGGTCTTTATATTTAGGAAAATGGGTAAACTTAAGGGCAAGCTTCCACTTATCCGATCTCTTGCAAGCCAGCCCCCATCCAAGCACTTCCCCACTCCTCTTGGCCCTGCTAGCTCATAGTCATCATCTTTATTGCAACCAATGCTTCATCACGGACACGGAAAAACTGCTGCCAAACATGGCCTGAGATGAGATGAGCTATCAAGGCTGTCTAACGGCCCCTTATACCTACGGTTTCAGGGAGGACCACGTAATTATGTCTCTGAATTATAGCTTACAGTGTTGTATGAACAATAGGGGGTTGTTAAGGACAACCAGAATCAACCGATATCTGAAGTGGGCCTTGTCAGAATCCTTTGACAACTTGGTTCAGAGTGTATCCCTTACCAATCTGTGTAATCACTTCACTACAAAAAAAATAGCTAAGTAATCAGGTTCCTGATCACGCCACCGATTGATATTGATCGCTATCGATCGATCGTGATCAGCGAGATGAAGTGTACATCAACATTATGACCTATGCATGCTGCACTAGCGCTAACCGTAGTACCGCCTCATACTACTTCTTGAGCGTACTCATCACTCCAATCGCCTCAGGCTTCACCTCATGGCTGAGGTGGGTTTTCCAAAATATTACCGTTAATCATGTAAAGTTCTACGGATATGCAAACCGACAAACGAGTCGATAGGCCAAGTAATGCTATGAGTGTAGAAAGTAGAGTAGCGACATTCGCAATTGGAGCGGAAAAATTGGAAGAGGAAGGAGAAAGGTGAATGGAACTGTAAAAAACTGTAAACTCTGGAGCGTCAAAGTGTAAACCATTCACCAAAAAGTAAAACCTCTCTCAGGCTGTCTATTCACTTTTCGAATTCAGTTGGATACTTCACAACCACATATGTCTGATAGATTACTACATATGTGCCCGACCACTCAATTTTCTGCTTTTCCCTATCCGTTGTGTTCTTTTTTCTCTTTCCCATATACACACACCAAGAATCGTCTATTGTAAACAGGTTATAGGTCAACAACAGTGTGATTTAGGAAGTTCTGTCAGAGAACTCTGACCCAGAAGGTTTCAGCTCGGAAATGGCTGTGGCGGACGACAAGAATTGCGACCATGAGTAGGTTTTTCGAATTTCAGAGAATTCTGAGCAATCCAGGAAAGCCAAACGAAGGGAGAATTATCCTAGGAATCCAGAGTGGTTTAGAAAAGTACTAGTGATGGGAGGAAAATCCAAGAGTAACACTTTCATGAGCGCAAGGAGAATCCCGTGAAACAGTGGTGTAAAGAAGAAATCAAACACAGATGTTGACTGCAGCCTACAGCATGCGCCTGCAATAAGATCCCGCCACTTGAGGGCATGATGGGCAATGCGGAATACACGAAAACTCATTTCGGAATACTGCTGTGCGGCAGTTGGGCAGGCCCTATGAGTCC